AGATACAAACCGATTCAGCGGAAGATATTAATGGAAATTGTTGATGTTCTCGCACCCATTATGGACGACAGCCCTGCATCGCTACTATTTATTCAGAACGATCCGGAAGCCTGGCCATGCAGGACTCTGCAACGGTTCCTTTGTACTCAAAATGACATATTGTTCCAGTGCGCTTTCCTTATCTCCTTACAATTCTGGAGCCAGCCTAAGTTACTATGAAATGGAGAAAGGTTCGACTTGGCGCCCGGAAATCATATTGCTACCGTATTTGTGGGGCTGGTATTGGCTTTTGTGTGGGTAGGAATTCATTAATTTCATCTTGCTTCTTCAGCTATTATACTAGCTATGCTAGCGCGCTTGAACTCACAGCGCAAACACCGTCGCAAATGTTTCCAACCTTCAGAAGAAATTGCTCCAGGGAATCTATTAATGCAGGTATGTTTTAAATGTATGACGTGGCCTGGCTTTAGTTATCGGGACCATGTGCAATGTTTTTGGGGCCGATGATGTACTTTTGGATGATACCGCACCCCCGGAGAATCCTGGGCTGCTCTGTGGGGTTTTTGATAGATGTTTTTAGGCTCTTTATCTTTGCTTGCGACGTTATCCTATATTTTTGTCAGATTACGCTCCGATACCGTCGATATTTCTGTCGTTGCGCTCGACGGTTTCTGCAGTGATACTGATAATATGCTATCAAAGACTATTGGGACCATACGAAGGCCATTTTTAGGTTGGTTTGGCGCGTCGGCGCGCGACGATCGTTGTTTGAGACATGTCCGTTTCTGGCGGACTCGATAGAAGTTTTATCGAAGCCCCAAGTACAACATGAACCATAAGTACCCAGCTACCAACAGATTCGTAGCCGCGTCGACCCCGACAATTTGAAAGTAAATGGCGCGGTTGGCAGTCCCTTGATCGAAAACCCTCCTGATCGAAAAAATGGCCTGATCGAAAATCCCATGATCGAAAATCGCCTGAACGAAGATCAACCTGATCAGAAAAATCAAAAAAATTGTGGGTTTTTTCCGACTTCCTAACATAACAAAAAGAATGGTCGTAGCCACTGCGCCAAACTCGGTATTCTGTACGTAAACTCCTTCAAAAGTGTTGAAGGGTTTGAAGAACCAACTATTACACAGTCGGTGTGTAAGCTTCTCAATTTCGAAACTAATAAATTCAAGATTGTCAAGAAAACTTCGTGCGTTGCATTTGACCTTGTAAATATACACAGATGCCCGCGTCAACTTGTTTTCTCAAAAGTGGGCTTGAGACGTTGCTGTAGTGACAGCATATATTTGATAGTGGCTGATAGTTATTGCATAGTTATGATGATTATTGCTTTGGATAACAGGAACACGAATGCTCAATTTCAAAGGTTCCCCCTTGGCCACATTAATGAAGCCCTGGGCAGCTCGCTGGAACGAATCTTTAAATCCAGCCATTTCCGCTCCCGGCATCAAAAACGTTTCCTAGATTTGACTACATTATTGCGATTATCGCTTACGATGCTAACCTTCATCGGTGTTAGCAGGTCGATCAGGGCGCTGAGGCGCAGTTCCAGTTCACCAGTTGATTCTCGTTTTGCCATTCGAATATTTCCTGGAACAATTTGCTTCACTTTTTAATAGGTCATGAGATAAGCGAAATGACTGTACTCTCTTACTGCAATGAGGCGATTGCGCAGGTGATTACATGAACACTTCGTCAGTTCCTCGAGATCAGCCATGGCTGCAAGGTCAATTGCAACTTGCAAGTCTGTTTTTGTATATTTCTGTGTTTTTTTTTTTTTTTTTTCCCAAACTTTGCCTATACCAATACCAGCCGCTTCCTGCCTACCGAGCGGCTGGACTTCGAGCTACCCCCTTCGCTCCTCCCCCTCGCCGAAACGCGCGCCACCTGGCTCGTTATGCCCAAAATCGATGCGAACGTCCATTACCCACTCGTTTTTCTAACATGGGAAGTGCACGACCTGACCGTGGGATTTCGGCTTGAGACATAGTGGATCTGATAGAGTCTGTCTCTCTCTGGAGTCTGATTCCGAATCTGTAATCCAGAATTTGCTAAATAAACGGAGAGAAAAAGTTATGATGCTTGCAAAGTCGGCAATCCGCGCTCGATTCGAATACGAAGAGACCTAAGCTTTAGCTCCTTCCCCTTCAGGTTTAATTCCAGCTTTGCACAAACACACACGGACACCTCAGAAAATTGTATAGTAGTAGATTAATAGACACCATACTTTGTGTCCAACAATAAAATCGCAGACAGCGCGACAAACTCTGTTGCTGTATGTTCATATGCCATTGGGATCGAAGAAAGTCCAGACGGGTTGAAATTTCGGGCGAAGTAGCTGCAACGGAGACGCTAAAATCTCACTAAACCTACTATTCGGTGTTGTTGCCTGCAGCCACCAGCCCTTCAATACCACGCAATAACTCGTAGTACGAACCCATGTGGTTGGAATCGATGTAGATACTAAATATTTGAAGACAGCTTTCGTCAGAAGCTTACCGATTTCCGAACAACCACTTATTCATTCGTTGCCATTAATTTCCATAGTAGATAAGCCTCTTCCAAGGCTTGGAAGGGAGCCGGAAATTCTTGAAGAGCTTTGCTGTAATCAACACAAAGGCTTGAAGCTAGGGTTGTTATACGAGTTGATTCGTCCAGCGAGTTGATTCAAGTCGCGATTTGACTCTTTGGGAACGAATCAATTCGCCCCGCGGTGTTCGTCAGTGCGTTGATTCGCTGGCCGTCGATTCGTTGCCCACGAATCAGAATCGAAACGAATCGATTTGTCAACGAGTTGATTCGTTTGCCGTACTGACTCGTCGGAAGTTGTTGTATGTTAATGAAGAAACCTTGTAAATCGAAATTCGCCCAGGGCGGCTTTTGGGGTGTCTTTCAGGTGCTGTCTGGGGTGCTTTTGGCGGTATATGACTAGGCTTTTTGACCAAATCAGAAGATGAACATCGTCGCCGAGCAGGTTGAACAACTCGACGCCAGAAGCCGCTCATAACTCATTTGGGGGGTCGTTTGGTAGCACTCCCGCGAGGTTGCTGAAGGCGGCGGACAATTTGAGAGGTTTTTCTACCCGCGCTAGCGGCGCCAAACAAGCTCAATAAAATTGCTTCGGGCGTTTTAGACTGTCGAAACGTCTCGAACGTCTCGACGGCAAACAAAACGACAAAGCAACAACAAAACGTCTCCGAAATTGCCAAAAGCACCCCAGACAGCACCCCGAAAGACACCGCAAAAGCCACCCCGGGGTGATTTATGATTTACATAGCGATTTTCATTAACATACAACAACTCCGACGAGTCAGAACGGTAAACGAATCAACTCGTCTGACGAATCGACTCGTATGCGGTTGATTCGTTTTGAATCGTATTCGTTCCCAACGATTCAAATTCGCTACAAAGTCAAATCCCAATTCAATCAACTCGTTTAAATTTTTGACGAATCAATTCGTCAACGAGTCGCTCGTATAACAACCCTACTTGCCTAAAACTAAAGCTCCAAATTTCATTTTCTCCATTCTCTATTAACCCTGTTATGACATTATCAACAACATACCATTGATAATCCACTAGACCATTTAAGAATTAACACACGTTGGAGATTCTGATCAGAGCGTAACAAAACCGGCATTTCGGGGGGTGGGGGCGGTGGGCGGCGGCAGCGGAATTTTTGCTACATCGAACAAAAATGAAGCGCTACAGGCGAACAACAACAACAGCAACAACAACAGCGCCGAAAGCAACAAAAATTTTTAGGAAAAATAAAATCATGAGGTTTTCCGTTCCCCTTTTTGGACATTTCCGCCTCGTGGCCGATTTCGGGGCTCGCCCCCCTCCCTCCCCCTCACCTCCTTACCAGCCTGAGTCTGATTGTTACCTGCTCGCTTGGTGCAAGGCGCTTGGGATATCGATTTTGGGTAATGAGGACGGGAAGCAAACCGCGGCTCAATCCAGCAAATTTGAAGATAAATTGGCCCGGGTTTCTGAGCTCGCGAGGTGCCTGAACGGTTTGGCGTCGCCCCGATCTGAAAATTCTCACAAATAGCGGCCTCCACGAGCTCGACCAACGACTTGTGCTACGTAGAACGTCTAGCGTTGCCCTTTCGGAGCCTAAAAGAAATGACATGTTTTTTGCGAGAAGAAAGCCAACCTGATATCGTTTCTGGAACTGTCCGGGTATGTTGTTCACCGCAATGATAGAAGCCCGTGGAAACTTGGCTGCGGAAGGAAGAGGACGAGGCTAGATGCTTGCCCAAGCATCATGTTTATTAAATAAAACATGAGATTATTATGCATTCATCAAGAAGTCTAGAAGATCTGAATACTATCATTCGGGGCGGATCATTCGGGACGAGCCAGGGAAATGCTTATTCTCCTGATCGACCTGTTTTTTGAGGGTTTAACCTACACTCTCTCTTCGTCATCGACTCGGACACTTGTTACGACGCTCACGTTTAAATACCGCCCGAGGTGACAACTTACCGATTGGATCACGCTCAGTCTGGACGGCTGAAAAAATTAATGTTTTAGAATGCTCGGTTATAGATATCATTGAGATGCAAAACTTAATTCTCCAGCCTCTCGGATCCATCCCAGCTTGTAGACATTTTCGAAGCAGCAGTGTCAGCATTTCAGCGGGTGACGAGCTTTACAATGGGATTTTTAGGATTGGGGCCGGTGATAGCTAACTAATTTATTTTAATTTCAATTTTAATTTTTAATTTAATGTATGTAAGCTAATTTCTAACAACTAGGGGGTGATGTTCAAATTTTGTGAGATGCTTCTCCTCCGATATCTCTGTTACGACCCACCCAATGGAATATTTTTTCCCGTTGACCCGACCGGTTTTGCGTGTGTTACTTTTGGCTAGGTAGATGTACCTGACTTGTCCTATTCTGCGGCTTTTGAAGCAAAATTTTTACCGTGGGCCGGGAGGCTATCCTCGGCCTGCAGGCAAACTCCGATCTTGCCCACATTACGGTCCGGCGGAAGAATGCGCCTGGGCTGCGTGTGAGAAACGATGAGGTGTAGGTAAAATCATCGTCGTCTTAGGTACAATAGCACTCACAGCAAGCTTCACAGGATTCGCCACCGAAATGGATGCTACCAAGCGAGTCGCGGCAACAGATTTCGCATTGGCGCTAAAAATTAGGTAGGCGTGTCTTTCGTTGGTACGAAAAACCGACAATTGTCTGTAGGATTTCGCCGACCTGTAGAAGTACTATTTTGGCTTCGCTGAACTGCGCTGCTGGGAAGGTTGAGCGTATCCACCCGACGCTGACCATCCAGTGGGACTTTTTGAAGGTGCTCTAGCTAGAACAAGAGATTGCAAGGCTTGTGTTTTGCGCCTTTTCTGACCTGGATGCGCTGAGCAAGCTGATTCGCTATTACATTGTGGTGTTGAACATTAGCTTCATATTTATTGTTCGTTCTTGAGCAGCGATATTCGGTCATTGGTACTAAAATTAGCAGCGTACCAAGCGGAAGGCATCCTATCCTATAAGCGAGAAAGAAGTATGTCTGTTTTTCTGTACAGCCGATTTCTCGGCCGTCAGGCCGAATTTTCGAGCCTGATTTTTTGGCTACCGGAGGTGGAGAAACACATTTGTCTTTTATTTTTTGTTTTGCTGAGAATTCCTTCATTTTGACGATTTTACAGCCGAAATAGTGAAAAATCCTTAGCATTTCGTTGAAAAAGGTATGTCCGGAGGTTTCTCGGCCGCCAAGAGGGCTGGGCTCTGATTTTTGGAGGATGCGTGGTAAAAACAATTCTCCCGATACTATTTTTTGGATTTTGCCAAATTATTTAAAATAAAGTTTTTATGAACGATTTACTAAAGGGCCTTAATAAGTGGCCACAGTCCCGTGGTTTCCGGGCCATAACTCCGAAGCCCAGATGGAATTTTGGTCTGTAATTTTGGTCCACTTATGTGTATTCGATAGTGGGGATCACGCGCATCTTATTATTTTTATAAATTTTCGGCGCATTCAGACTCAAAAAGGAAATTTGTAAAGTTATCAAAGTCCTCTCTCCCCAGTGAGGCGCCCCCAGGGCAGAAGAGGCCCTTTCCCACTGTCAATCGCCGCGTCCCCTTGGTGTATTAGATTGGCGCCCGTTCTAACAAACGCGTGTCAGGGTTCGAATCCGCCGGGAATTTAACTTTTTGCTTTTTGGTAGTTCAACAACAAGGCATATTTCCTAGGCTCTGTGTGCGAGGTTTAGAAACGGGCCCTGGCTCTAGCGCCGGAGGCGAAAGAATGCGCTCCTTGACCCAGGCTCTCGCGCCGCAGGCTCAAGTCCCTGGAGAAAGCCCGGTAGCCCCAGCGCCGCATCTCAAGGTCTGGCCCAGCGCTGGCTCTGGCGCCGCAGGCCAAAGAATGGTTCCTTGAGACAGGTCGATAAAAGGAAAGGGAATTCATGATTCCTAGATGGGGTCCAGTGGAAAAGGGCCGCGAAGCGGTCTTTTTCCACTGGTTTTATATACGTTATTGCTTTTTTTAGACTCTAAACAAAAGAACGTATTAAAAACCGTACGATCAGTTGGTGCCTTTTTGTCTTCCATTCCAATAGATGGTCGCGGAAAATTAGCAATGCAGTCAACCGAAACGAAATTTTTCAGTCCCGACTGACAATCGCGTCATCCTGCCGGAAATGTTTTGCAAAATTCATTTATATAGCGATTTTGCCGGGACGAACAACTGTAGACAGATTTATGGTGGATACGTCGGGCCCATCGAGGGATTGTCGTATGATCCCGGCATTAGCCCACACAACTCTTCAGGGACGCTCCAATTTTTGTTAGTTGTTTCGCCGATTGGTTGCGGCGAGGGCAGCTCTAATCGCGCCTGAAAATCATGGACCGTATGGGAGACGCCAGGGGTACGGTATGTTCCGCGGTGAGTTGCACAAAATACATCAAGGGAAACCGAGACAATAAGTACGTCAAGTGACTAGAATCATTGCTGAACAGTTTCGGATTTGCCCTTGGGAAGATCCTTATTAGCATCTGCTTTGCAGCAGCACGGATTGCCATCAAAAAAAGGATAGAGATTTTTGTACGTTTTGTAGGCGGCTTCCAGGTGAGAATGAATGTATTCTTACAAGGAGATGTTTTTTTAGTGTCCACGGAGTCTCGAAATGGGACCAAGACTATTTTATGCAGAATTTTGCGCTGATTAAAACCTGGTTTTTAGAATCTGGAAACGACCAAAATAACAGAGGTAGGACGCTTTAAAAGTCGAAAATAGGCAAATGTTGGTCATTTTGGGCATTTTTCGCACTTTAAAGGTTCATAACTTTTGAAATATCTGGTTTCGCAGATTCGGAAAAGTTCGTTGTGGTCAGCGAAAAATTCTGCATAAAATAGGCTTGGTCTCATTTCAAAACTCCGTGGACACTAAAAAACGTCTCCTTGATAGTTTTGTTTGAATTTTCATTTTTTTATCCTTCTAAACATAAATCCTTCTCGACCAGCCCTGAATGAATATTTATTGTACAAAATAGGGGCCAGGTAATGTTCGATGGGCGGTTTTCAACATGATAGAGAACGTTAAAAATCATTAATATCACTGGTAAAGCCGGGCCTGATAGATAAGATACAATCATGTAAATTGTTTTAGGAAAACAATTGTACGACAAATCAAAATGGAAACGAGATCGATTTAGCCGTGAAGCCCAAAGTATTCCTCGTCCACTTTGTTGGGGCGGTGAAGGCGCAGGCTTTTGAATTGTGACATTTGCTCGGTGGGCTTTAGCACGTCATCCTAAAATATTGCTTCATTAGAAAAATATGAAAAACACAGATCTCAGGCCAAATAAACACATTTATCTGGCTTTCGAATCGGTATTTTACCGTACCCGAACAAGCGTGATTAAGTTGATGAGAGCGCTGAAGCGGAGCTCGGGTTCGTCGGGCTGGTTTTCGCTCTTGTGCCAGTCGAAGAGTTCCTGGAATTCTCATTCAAAAGCTTTGAAACATGCTTGAAAACGGAAACCTAGAGGTTGAAAAATAAAAAAACAAGGTG